TGATAAGTTATAGTGATGATTTCAAAATTCATCACAAATTTCTGTCACCAAAAATCATTTTTCTTGTAGTGATTATTCTTTTAAGTATAAATAAAATATCAATATTAACATGTTAGGTAGCCATATATACATCAGATGTACTACGTGGACAAATGAGAAAAGGCTAAAATCTAGTAGGTGGATGGTCACGAGGTTCGACATAAACTAATAGACACATCGCCAACTACACTGTCAGTTGTTAGAATAATGATTTTGTTATGAAAGTTAGTCATATAGTGACAATATTTTTATAAATTCATTAACTTTACCAAATCTTCTATTAGTTTCAAAACTTAGTTATAATCTTCAATCATTATGACTTTTGATCATTCTCAAGCGATCATTTTCTTTTTGTTATTCCTTTTGATCTTGTACATTATGACACTTGAGGTCTATTTCTTACGTCCATCATGGGGGTTCTAAGTATTTTATGTTATTTATTGGTGATGATACTTGTTTTACCTAAATATATTTTATGAAAAATGACTCTAATGAAATTGAGCACAATTCTGCAAAGAAATAGCCCACTTCCTTCTTGAGAAGGGATGGGAAACACGCTCAATATCATTTGATTAAGTACCCAGCTCCTTGTTGTTTGAAGAAACCCTCCACTTCAATTGGTATTTTTTCACGAAAAAAAAGCATGAGATAACAAATCTAGTCTTTCACTAAGATTTCAAATAATTGTCTCAAATTCAAGTTGATTTTGTTTTGCTTCCTTTATTTCTGTCAGAGAGTAATATGAATATTATATCATGTTCTATCAACACACTAAATGGATTATACCATATCTCCAGTGTGGAAGTCGACCAACATTTGTCACGCCCTATAACCCAAATCCGGAAACGTGGCAGACGCCGTGCACTCGCAAAAGGTCCCACGAATGCACAAGGCTCGGAACTTACTAAGTTCTAAATGTTCAATTCAAATAATTCAAATCTAAAACTCAAGTAAAATCTAACTTTCCATTTCCAAAAAAATTACTATTCCAGATATACAAAAGTTTATAACGGTTATGGCTATAACCCAAAAAAGCTCTGTACACAAAAATGGTCATCCATGAGAGACTAGCGGCCTAACTCCAAAAGATCTAAGTCCCAAAATAATGTCTAGCCGTCTAGCTCGTCACTCCCCCGGTTCCCTATGTGTCGGGCATCACTACCTGAAATGGTGGACAAAGAAAACGAGGTGAAATAAAATATCTCAGTAAATAAAATATGGATAGCCCGTGAGTAAAATGTTATCATGCCAGATAAACAGTTCAATATAACAAACTTTCAATGCTAAACCATTCATGCATAATAAACTCATCAGTAGTCTCATCTATAAGTCATGGCCAGTGTTTAACAAACTCCCACTGGCAGGCGTCAGTAATAACCAATGTTTAACCCCATTGGCAGGGTTAAAGAAGTACCAGTGTTTAACAACTCCCACTGGCAGGCGTCAGTAATGGTACCAGTGTTTAACAACTCCCACTGGCAGGCGTCAGTAATGACCAATGTTTAACCCCATTGGCAGGGTGAACCAGTTCTACAAAAATACATGTCGACATGTGCTAGCGTTTACAGCTCCCACTAACGGGCGTCAGTAATCATGACTATATCCGAGACAAAACCATGCAGAATTCACAAAAATCCAATATTCATCATAAATCTCGATTTCAAGAATAAACCGGAAAGTTTCATGTGGGCATGCTCACTCTGGAAAAACAATTTCATAAAAACCTGCACAACTTTCATGTGAGCATGGATTTAACAGAAAAAAACTCGGCATTTACAAAATTCTCAGTTCATCAAAACAGTTCAATCAATTCCAAATAGGCATGCTCTACTCAATACAAATGAAAACAATTCCATTTCAAACCAATCGTGCTCGATGCAATAAAACCAATTTAAAATCCATTTAAGCCTTGCCACCATCTCAAAAACAAATCAAAACATGCTTTTAAAAACTGTACAAGCATTATCATAAATTTACTTACCTCGAATCGCACCAACTCGAACACTAATCCCAAGTGCTAGGGTGCAGGATAATCAAGTAGCTAATCAAAACACTCCAGAATTAATAACCATATAAAAACTACCCATTTAATCCTTTCTAATGTTACCGAAAATTAACCCCGTAAGGAAGTTTTATTTCTTTTCTTATTTATTTATTTATTCATTTCTCTATCCGAAATCAAGCACAAAATCAATTGTGCACTTATATTTTTTTTGCATAATTCACATCAAATTCTCCCATTTACTCACGGCACACATGGAGAGCATGGTTTGACAAACCACAACTCACACGCACACGGGAGTTTTCTCTCCAAAACATCACAGCAGCCTAATTAAACTAATTCCTACATGAATTAACTAAAACACAATTAAAGCTGCCGAAATCTCCCATTTTTTTCCTTGGCAGCATTCGGACAATCATAGGGCAACCACACAAAGACCAAATTCAGCAAAACAACCACCAATCAAATGAGATTTGGACTTAAATGAAGCCCATCATACCAGAAAATTCCGGCGAGCAACCCCGGGTCTGGCTGGGCAAGGAAGTCGAAAATCTGGAGAGAAATCAGCACAAAATTGAAGGAAATAAGAGCAATTAAAGTGAACCCAACTTGAATTAAGGCTAAAGGGATGATTCTTAGTTGTTCCCTTACCAGAAAAACCGGACAGCATCCCACCGGCAAGAGCAGATCGCGGGAAGACAGGGCAGAACAGAGCAGATCCGAAAATCTGCAGAAGGGGGGGATTTCTGGGTTCACTTCCAATCCTAGAACAAGAAAAAAGGAGAAACTTCAAGCTCTTACCGGTTTTCTTGGCCGGAAAATGGGTGGCGGTAGCTGGGGCTGTCGGGTGGCAGAGGGTCGGGGGAAGAGGAAGAATGAGACACGCGACTGGATAAGGAAGAAAAAGAAAGAAAGAAAAAGGAAATTTTTTGCCGACCTTATCCAAACTTCCCCCTTTTAAGTGCCTTGACTTCAGAGCCTTTTACTATTAAGCCCATTAATAAGAATTTCTCACAACTAAGTCCCTGAAAATTTGGGGATATTACAATTTACATCAGCAAATCAAAGCTTTCCAAGTCCATGCCCAAGTCTGTATTACTTCTTGGGTTGTCATTGCTATCTTATGAGGTTTTGCTGTTATTGTAGTTCGGAATCCACAAACCTTTCCAACCAACGATCAAAATTTCTTCAAATATGTTCTTGAATTTATTCGAGACATGAGCAAAACTCATATTGGAGAAGAATATGGTCCATGCATGAAAAACCCAGAGTTTATGCCACTAGATTCGAACAGGCAATTCAATTTATTGTTATTGTTGAAAGTACACAAGGCCAATGAACCATATAACAATAGAAAAATAATAAATAAACAAGTCGAGCATTTAGGTTTTGTTTGGGAATAATTTTTTGTCACGCCCCAGAACCCAAATCCGAGGACGTGACAAACGCCGTGCACTCGTAAGACGAGTCCCACAAGTGCACAAGGCTCGAAACTTATTCAAATCACAAAATCTCATGAATAAAATCTACTTTACAAAAGGATGATAAAATCTAAAACTTATATCCAATTAGAATGGCTAGCCTTCTACCTCATCACTCCCCTTGGTTTCCCGTTCTCGGTTTCGCTTCCTGAAATGATGGACAGGGAAAAATTATGAGATAACATATCTCAGTAAGTAAAAATATGGATAACCCTTGGTAACAATTTAAGCATGCCAGATAAACCATGTAAGCATAACAGAACCTTCAATGATAAACCATTCATGCATAATAAAATTCATCAGTAGTCTCATCTATAAGTTATGGCCAGTGTTTAACAAACTCCCACTGGTAGGCGTCAGTAATGGTACTAGTGTTTAACAAACTCCCACTGGCAGGCGTCAGTAATAACCAATGTTTAACCCCATTGGCAGGGTTACAGAAGTACCAGTGTTTAACAAACTCCCACTGGCAGACGTCAGTAATTACCAATGTATTATCCCATTGGCAGGATTACAGAATGAACCGGTCATATCAGTAAACATGTCAACATGTGCCAGCGTTTACAAACTCCCACCAGCGGGTGTCAGTAATCATGACCATATTCGAGACAAAACCATGTAGGATTTCCAAAAAAATCCGTAATTCACAATCAATCTCAAATTTCAGAAATAAATCGAAAAATTTCCATGTGAGCATGGATTTAACGGAAAAACTCAAAATTTACAAGATTTTTCAAATCATTAGAGCAGTTCAGTAAATTCCAAGTAGGCATGCTTTACTCCAAAAAAAACAATGCAATTCTCATTGTCATTCCAACCATGCTCAATTCCAGAAAATCATAATTTTCATAAAAATCATCACAATTTTCATTTCAGTTTAATCACACTCAGATGCTGATAAAATCAATTTAAAATCAATTTAAACCGTGCCACCATCTCAAAAACAATTTAAAACATGCTTTGAAATTGAAGGGTTTTACCATAATTTACTTAACTCACTCGCACAGAACAAAAAGCTTAACCCAAGTGCTATGGTGATAGAACGATCAAAACCTAATCATAATATTCCAAGAATTAATACTGCACTACCACAAATTCAAGTGAAATCATCATTAGCACTACCCCCTAATAACGGTGCTATTTCTATCGATCTCCATATGACTAGACATCTCCAAATTTGTTTTTATATTACAAACTAAACATTTAAATCCACCGTTAATTATTGGCCATCAGTGCGTGAACAGTGCCCGTGAACAGTGCCCGTGAACAGTGCCCGTGAACAGTGCCCATGAATAGTACCGTAAACAGTAACTTCAACTTCCAAAATTGGCAAAACAATAACTAATCTCACAGGATTTTTCTCCAAAATCACAACAACCCAATTCAAGCTAATTTACACTTAAACTAAGCTTAAAAACATAGCTTAAGCTACTAAAATTTCCCCATTTCTCACGGGCAATACATGGAGAGCATAGCTTTGGCAAACCACAACTCACACACACGGGATTTTCACACAAAACATCACAGCAGCCAATTCAAGTAATTTCCACATAATTTAAACAGCAAAACACATTTAAAGGGCTGCCAAATTCATCCCCTATCCCAACAGATTTTCCAAACAGTACAAAGCAATTCAAAAGCAGGAAATCCAAACAACACAAGGCAACAACTACATGGATAAATTGGACTTGGAAGAGCCGGAAACTTACCAGAATTCCAGCCAGCAGAAACCGAGCTTGGCTGGTGAGGAAGCTGACGGGATCTTGGGGGGAAACTCACGGCAAAACTCCAGAGATTCAAGAACCAACAACAAAATTAGAGTAACCCAAGCCAAATTAAGAGAGAGAGGATGAATTTCATGGCTGTGGCTTACCCGAAAAAGCCCAGAAATTCGCACCCAGCAAAACCGACGGACAGGGGAGGAAGAGCAGAGCAAAACCGAGATTTTTTTCTGGGTTGAGAGAGAGAATTCTAAGCCCCAAATCTTGTGGTTGAACAAGAAAGAAGGAGAAATTTCAAGCTTTTTTTGCCAATTTTTCAAAGGGGTACGTCGGTGGCTGCTTAGGTCCTTCTTTCGGGTTGCAGGGGACGGGAAGAAGAAGAGCAAAACACGCACATGTGGCCGGGAGAAAGAAAAGAAAGAAAAAAAAGAAAAAAAAAAGAAAAAGAAAAAGCAGCTGATCCTTATCTCATTTTTTTAAGTCCCTCAACTTTTGAAATTTGACTATGAAGCCCCAAAACAATATTTTTCCTCAAATAAGTCCCTTGCTTAATGCTAAAATATCACAAAATTTTGGGGTATTACATTTTCAGTTACTTTAATTTTTTTTATTATTTTAAAAATATACAAAATATTAATTAAAATGCAAATAAATATTAAATATATTATATAGAGATTGAAAAAATTAAGATTTTTCAATAATTAAAATATTATGAATAATAATAAAAAAATTAAAAAAATCCTTAATTAATCAATACAGAAAAAAAATTAATTAAGGGTATTTAAATAATTTTATAAAAATCCTTACATTTAATGCATCAAGACTTCTAGTTTTTACTTTTCTCTATTAAATATATTTTATATATAAGTCTTTTAACTTGTGTCTTAAGGGTGTAATTAAGAAATCTCTTTTATCATAAATGTATGTAAAAAATATAAAAGTTGACAAAATATAAAAGTTGACATTAATTTTAGTGTTGATGTTTAGTGGATGAATTTAATTAAACAATTGATAAATTTAAAATTAATTTTATTTTTAAAATATAAATTTAT